CATGTTAGTTGAATTAGCCTGTGCGTTTGTGTGCTCCTGCTCCCTGTGTGTTTGTCTGTCTGTTTTCTTTTCCAGGGCTACCTCAAGAAACAAGCTAGAGTGCACAAGGTGGAGAGTCCCAAATATCACTACGAATAGGAAAATAAAATAACCAAGGTCCCAACAAGAGAGACCAGGGGATACCATTCAAAAAACACTCTCTGAAAGGGTAGGCCCTGGAAAGTCAAAGAGCCTTCTTGGATATAGCAGTGCTCATAGAAACAGAGAGAATAATAGGTCTTTAAAACCAACAAGAGCCGGAAAGCTAACTAAAATGACGAAACGAAAGACCTCTCCTCCAAAGAAACTCCAAGAAGAAATGACAGCTAATGAACTGCTCAAAACAGATATCAGCAGCATCACTGAACAAGATTTTAGAATAATAATGGTAAAATTAATAGCTGGGCTTGAAAAAAACATAGGGGACATCAAAGAAACTATGGCTACAGACAGAATGGAAAATAAAAATAGGCATGAAGAATTAAAAAATGCGATAAATGAGATCCATAATAAATTAGAGGCCTCCAATGCACGGATTGAAGAGGCAGAAAGGAGAATAAGTGATTTAGAAGACACCATTATAGAAAAACAAGAAGCTGACAAAAAAAGAGACAAACTGATCCAGGAACAGGAAAGAAGAATTCGAGAGCTCAGCGATACGGTCAAACGCAACAATATCCGTATCATAGGAATCCCAGAAGAGGAAGAGAGAGGGAAAGGTGCTGAAGGAGTCCTGGAACAAATTATAGCAGAGAACTTCCCCGACCTGGGGAAGGAAGTAAATGTGGAAGTACAAGAGGCTCAGAGGACTCCCCTCAGACGTAACCTGAATCGATCTTCTGCACGACATATCATAGTGAAAATGGCCAAATACAAGGACAAAGAGAGAATTTTGAAAGCAGCTAGGGAGAAAAGGGCCCTAACATACAAAGGGAAACCTATCAGAGTGGTGACAGACCTATCTACTGAAACTTGGCAGGCTAGAAAGGAATGGCAGGAAATCTTCAATGTGATGAACAGTAAAAATATGCAGCCAAGAATCCTCTATCCAGCAAGCCTGTCATTCAAAATAGAAGGAGAGATAAAAACCTTTCCAAATAAACAGAAATTGAAAGAATTTGTCACCACGAAGCCAGCCCTACAAGAAATCCTGAGGGGGATGCTCTGAAGGAAAGGTTGCAAGGAACAAAGATACCAGAGACACCACCACAAACATGAACCCTACAAAAGATACAAAGACTCTAAACCCACATATTTCAATAATAACACTGAATGTAAATGGGCTGAATGCTCCAATCAAAAGACATAGGGTAGCAGAATGGATTAAAAAACAAAATCCATCAATATGCTGTCTACAAGAAACTCATTTTAGACGGGAAGATACCTTCAGATTAAAAGTAAGGGGATGGAGAAATATATATCATGCTACAGGAAATCAAAAGAAAGCCGGAGTAGCGATACTTATATCAGACAAACTGGACTTTAAATTAAAGACAATCACAAGAGATGAAGAAGGGCACTACATAATAATTACAGGGTCCATCCATCAGGAAGAACTAACAATCATAAATGTCTACGCACCGAATATGGGAGCACCTAAATATCTAAAACAATTAATCACAAACAGAAACAAGCTTATAGATAAGAATGTGCTAATAGCAGGGGACTTTAATACTCCGCTTACAGCAATGGATAGGTCAACCAGACAGAAAATCACTAAAGAAATAATGGACTTGAAAGACACATTGGACCAGATGGATCTGACGGATATATTTAGAACTTTACATCCTGAGGCCAGGGAATTTACTTTCTTCTCAAGTGCGCATGGCACATTCTCCAAGATAGATCACATACTGGGACATAAAGCAGCCCTCAATAAATATAAAAGAATAGAGATCATACCATGCACACTGTCAGATCACAATGCTTTGAAACTTGAAATCAATTACAGGAAGAAGTCTGGAAAACCGCCAAAAACATGGAGGTTAAAGAACACCCTTCTAAAGAATGAATGGGCCAATCAGGCAATTAGAGAGGAAATTAAAAAATATATGGAAACAAATGAAAATGAAAACACAACAATTCAAAATCTATGGGATGCGGCCAAGGCAGTCCTAAGAGGAAAGTACATTGCTCTCCAGGCCTATTTCAAGAGATTAGAAAAAGCACAAGTCCAAAATCTAACAGCTCACCTAAAGGAGCTAGAGGCAGAGCAACAAGAACGCCCTAAACCCAGTAGAAGAAGAGAAATAGTAAAAATTAGAGCAGAAATAAACAACATAGAGACCAAAGAAACAATTGAACAGATCAATGAAACCAAGAGTTGGTTTTTTGAAAAAGTAAACAAAATTGACAAACCTCTAGCCAGGCTTATCAAAAAGAAAAGAGAGAGCACCCAAATAGACAAAATTATGAATGAAAATGGACTTATTACAACCAACCCCTCAGAAATACAAGCAATTATCAGGGAATACTATGAAAAATTATATGCCAACAAATTGGACAACTTAGAAGAAATGGACAAATTCCTAAACACACACTCACTACCAAAATTCACACGGGAAGAAATAGAAAACCTGAACAGACCCATAACGAGTGAAGAAATCGAATCAGTGATCAAAAATCTCCCAACAAATAAGAGCCCTGGACCTGATGGTTTCCCTGGGGAATTCTACCAGACATTTAAAACAGAATTAATCCCAATTCTTCTCAAGCTATTCCAAAAAATAGAAGTCGAAGGAAAACTCCCGGACTCATTTTATGAAGCCAGCATCACTCTGATTCCCAAGCCAGACAGAGATCCAACAAAAAAAGAGAACTATAGGCCAATATCCTTGATGAATACGGATGCAAAAATTCTCAACAAGATCCTTGCAAATCGAATCCAGCAGCATATCAAAAGAATCATCCACCAAGATCAAGTGGGATTCATTCCTGGGTTACAGGGCTGGTTCAACATTCGCAAATCAATCAATGTGATCCATCATATCAATAAAAGAAAAGATAAAAACCATATGATCCTGTCAATAGATGCAGAAAAAGCATTTGACAAAATACAGCATCCCTTCTTAATAAAGACTCTCGAGAAAGTTGGGATAGAAGGAACCTACTTAAACATCATCAAAGCCATCTATGAGAAGCCTTCAGCTAACATCATCCTCAACGGGGAAAAACTGAGAGCTTTCCCCCTGAGATCAGGAACACGACAGGGATGTCCACTCTCACCACTGTTGTTTAACATAGTGCTGGAAGTCCTAGCATCAGCCATCAGACAACAAAAGGAAATCAAAGGCATCAGAATTGGCAAAGAGGAAGTCAAACTTTCACTCTTCGCAGATGACATGATACTCTACATAGAAAACCCGACAGACTCCACCAGAAGCCTACTAGAACTGATCCAAGAATTCAGCCAAGTTGCAGGGTACAAAATCAACGTACAGAAATCGGTTGCATTTTTATACACCAATGATGAAGCAACAGAAAGAGAAATCAAGAAACTGATCCCATTCACAATTGCACAAAAAACCATAAAATACCTCGGAATAAAATATTTTTTAAAAATTTAAATCAATCCCTCAAAATTTTAAATTTAGCTAATGGAAACTAGTGAAGTATAAAAATTTAAGTCATCATGACCAAGTGAGGTCAAGTCTGGATTGCAAGCATAACTTTACATCTGAAAGTCACCTGACATAACATAACACATTAAAAGAGTAAAGAAGAAAAAATACACTGTCATCTCAAGAGATGCATTAAAAACATTTGGCAAATTTAATACCCATGTATGCAAACACTATCAGCAAACTAGGAATAGAAAAGACTTCCTCAACCTGACAAAAGACAACTGTGAAAAGCCTTCAGTTAACATCATTTTTCTAAGGTTCAGAGCAAGAATACAGCTGTATTCAATCTGGAAGCCTAGTCTGGAAGCCTTAGCTAGTTCACTAATCAAGAAAAGAAAACCATCAAGATTACAGAGGAAGAATTAAAACTGTCTCTAGTGGCAGAAGAAATGATTGTGTAGAATATCCTAGAAAGTGTTAAAAATACTAGAATTTATAAATAAATCTTTTTACGGATACGATTGTAAGGGCACCTGGGTGGCTCAGTTGGTTAAGCATCCAACTTCAGCTCAGGTCATGATCACATGGTTCATGGGTTCAAGCCCTGCCTAGGTCTCTGTGCTGACAACTAGCTCAGAGCCTGGAGCCTGCTTCAGATTCTGTATCTCCTTCTCTCTCTGACCCGCCCCTGCTCAGGCTGTCTCTCTCTCTCTCTCTCTCTCAGAAAGAAATAAAACACCTTTAAAAATGTTTAAAAAAATAAAATTTTTAAAATTTTTAAAAAAAGGATATGATTGTAAAGGCCAATGTGAAACTCAAATGTATTTCTATATACTATCAAAAAACACTTGAAAAATATTATTTTACATGAAAATTTTTGCACATAATTCAGGATTAAATTTAAGAAAAGATTTATAAGATCTCTACACTGAAAAAGCACAATAGTGAGGAAATTGAAAAGGACCTAAATAAAATGACATATGCAACGTGTTTTAATTGGAAGTATCAATATTATTAACATGTCAATCCTCCACCTATCTATAGATTTAATGCAATGCTAACCAAAATCTAGTTAGCCTTTCTGTGTTTAGAAATTGACAGGATCTCCCAAATTTTGATTAAAAAGATCTAGAGTACTAGGAACAATTTTGAAGAAAGAGCAAAGCTGAAGTCAGAGTAGTATCAGGCATAAGATTAGACGTACAGATCAATGGAACAGAAAAGAATATTCAGAAAGAGTCATATTTATGGTTAATTGATCTTAGACTCAAGCCTCACTGTAATCCAATGAGAATGGACAGTCTTTTCAACAAATGATTCTGGAAGAACTGGTTATTTGCATAGGGAAAAAATGATTTGTGACCTATACCTCTCTGAACAAAAACAAATGCTACATACCTGCTGAGTCACCGCTGCTGCCAAACTGCCCCCAGAACTGTCTCCTGAAATACAGATTCGGGTGGGATCCACTCTGTATTCTGTAAGAATTTTATCTTGAAGAAAAAATTTGACTGCTGTGAAGCTGTCTTCAGACTGAGTAGGAAAATGCTGTTGAGGAGCTAGTCTATAGCTTTAAAAAATAATAAGTTATTTAAACAATTTTTAAAGTACCATTTATGGTTGTATCTTTCCATGTAGCTTTTCAATACCAAATAGATGCAATTTCACCCCAGTTTTGGTTGTTTAATCGGTCAAAAAAAATCAGACCTGAGTTTTCCACTAACTCCTTATCATATGAATAAAAAAGAAAATTCGTATAAAGATTTTCAATCTTTTATCTATTTTCTATGGATAGCATTTTGTGTGAGGGGTAAGGTGATGTTATGAGTTCCCTATGATTGTAAGTATAATTTTTAATCCACATGCATTTTGGGTTGGAGATACTCTATAGCTTATACCATATTCTCAATGTAACTTTGATCCAAACATTTAAAAAATATTGGAAAAACATCCTGGATTTTGAAAGCAGCAGATCTGAGAGACTTGACTCAGGCCATGTTCTCAGTTCATGGGTCGAGCCCCATGTCAGGCTCTGTGAGCCTGGAACGTGCTTCGGATTCTGTGTCTCCCTCTCTCTTGGCCCCTCCCCAATTCCCTCTCTCTCTCTCTCTCTCTCAAAAGTAAATAAACTTAAAAAATAGGAGAATATTTCTATTAGTCTATTATCTATCAGGGATAACTTTTCCTTTTGCTCTTCAGAAAAATAAAATTTGCAAATATCTGTACTTTAAATGTTAGTGAAATGATCCTTAAAATTTTATCATAAACTATATTTAGAAAATCCTAAACACAGTATAGGCTACACAAACCCCAACGTGTTAGTATCTATTACTTTAAATACAGTAGATTTAGACTCTTTAGGACAAAGAACAATACAAATCATAAGGATTTGACAAATATATAAACCAGAAACAGACATAGTACTATATAAAAATATATTGAAAATATATATATAAGTTCTAGATTACTTCAAAATCTATGGAAGTAAAAAGGATATAGCTTAATATTATAAATTAGAAGTATCCTTGAAAATAGGAAGTTCTAGCCTCTGTAAGTAACCGAAACAAAAACATTGGCAATTACTCTCGAGAGAATCAAATTGTCACTCTAGGTTACCCTCTAAACTTTAATAGCTTCCTAGCTAAAAATCAAAACAAAACAAAACCCAAACCTATATCACTATTGGATTAAAAGTCTGTAAGTATATTTTTGTTACTATGGACTAGGGAAGAGAGGTAGGAAAACATTTTCCTGGGGATGTCAGTTTCGGAAATATAAACTGCACCAGTTTAAGAAAATATTGAACTATACTGAGACGTTCTGATATTTTCTAGCAAAATCCAGAAGATAAAAATCACTTTTCCTGAGAATTTTTTCCTGAAAATTCTTAGCTGATTCCAACCTTTATCTCCTACATTACTCCAAATGAGAATTGGTATAAAATAAAACACTTTATCACCAGCCTAAATACAATCTATCATCCCAAATGTGTAGGATTTATTTATTTCCTCCTGTTTAGCCATGTTACTTGGGGCCTAGGCTGGGACATGAGTTTTATGTCTAGAGCAAAGTGCTTCCAAAAATGCTCACTCAGGCATATCACTCAGAGATTTCCAAAATCACAGAAGAATATGAGGTAGTGGACTCTTTTGAGACTTGGACTATGTTGCAATGGTGACAAATAAATAATTTTTTAGAAATTACATTTTACTGGGGTACCTGGGTGGGTCACTCTGTTAAGTATCTGACTTCAGCTCAGGTCATGATTTCAAGGTTTGTGAGTACAAATCCCACACTGGGCACTCAGGTATCAGCGCAGAAACTGCTTCACATCCTCTGTCCTCTCTCTGTCCCTATCCTGCTTGTTCTCGTTCTCTCTCTCTCTCTCTCTCTCTCTCTCTCTCTCTCTCTCTCTCTCTCACACACACACACACACACACACACACACACACACACAAGTAAACATTTTAAAAATTATATTTCCAGGGGTGCCTGGGTGGCTTAGTCGGTTGAACATCCGAGTTCAGCTCAGGTCATGATCTCACGTTTCATGGGTTCGAGCCCCGCATCAGGCTCTGTGCTGACAGCCAGCTCAGAGCCTGGAGC